GTGGCTGGCTCCTTCTCATCTCTGAGCTCTCTGCTTCAATGCCCCTGCTCAGCTAGCCTCCCCCCGGCCCTGTGTGACGTTGCCCCCACCATCCGTCCTCCCACCATTGTGTAAGCTCCACGAAGGCAGGCACTCTTTGGGGCTTGTTCTCCATTCCACCATCCAACTGCCTGGAGCAGTAACTGTCTGTGACTATTTCTTGAATGAAAGAAATGACCCCGTGACAATTGCTATTGTCATTTCCATTGCATAGGCTTTTCCAGGCAACTAGGCTGAGAGAGTTAAGCACCTTGCCCAGGGTCGCACAGCCTGGAAATGAAGGAGATGGATTGAAACCCAGGGGTCCTGAGGCTAAGCCCGTATTCTTCACCCTTATACACACTCACTCTTGGTGTGTGTTCACGTGGATACGGGAGAGAGCGTGGAGTGATATAGACAATCAAATGCAGCCCTAAAGTGTTGTTTCGGTTGATGAAGGTGGGGATGGGCATGTCCTGATTGTTCAGTACAGAAGTGCTTGTGCAGTGTCTTGTGAGTGCTGGCTTGGGCACTCGACTCTTTCTAGTACCCGCAGTAACTACAGGCTCCTGTGTGCACCTCCACAGCGCAGAAGCTGAGAGAGAGCAGGGCCTGAGCACCCATAGCCTGCCACCCCTCGCTCCATCACACTCATTTGTCTTCTTAGAAGATTGTCCCACACCGTATTTGTCTGCTTCTTAATCGATATTACGGGACAAAAGTGTTCTATCGCCTACAGATCTGCCTTAGACAAAAGAAATGCCTTAAACAAAATTAAACGTGTTTCTTTCCTGCAGAGCATACTGGACCTTTTAATCTGATTTACATTATTAATTTCCAAAAGGATGTCATAGACCACAGCTTGTACAAAACTTGTGTTTCTGCCGACTCTGTTTTCACGATGCGCTCCTCGGGATTCGTATTCCAGGAACACACTTTGGGAAATGCTTGTCTAGCCGACCGTTTTGAAAACAACTATACCTTTAGCAACTAGCACATTTCCCACTGTCTCTGAAATAGTGAAGATTACCTTTTTGAATAAGGAAAACGATATCAGAACATTAAAATTCTGAAAACAGAGGATGAGTTATAATCCTAGCTATTCCCAACCCAAAATTATTTTCCTTTTTGCGTATTTGTTTCCAGGGAGGTTAAGATCGTAAGCTCTGGAGTCAGAGATAGCTGAGTTCAAAGCGAAATTCTCCTTCCTGCTCTAGGACCTTGGACAGCTTATTTATCCTCTCATTAAACCTCTTAGCACAGCACCTGGCGTGTAGTATTTGCTCAATAAAAAGTAGTTTTAAAAAATATGCTGGTTAAAGTGCACAGGCAGGATATTGCTGCAATCATACTGTAAAGTTTTGTATTCTGTTTTTTCATCTAACATTTCATCACAGCTTTTCAAAAACTATTTTTATAATTATTTTTTAAATTATAAGATATTTCAAAAATAAAGAGAATAATAGAGCAAACATAAATATCCCCATAATCCATTTTAAAGTGTTACCAAATTGCCAATTTTGCTTCAAAAGGTATTCTGTTTTTTCATCTAACATTTCATCACAGCTTTTCAAAAACTATTTTTATAATTATTTTTTAAATTATAAGATATTTCAAAAATAAAGAGAATAATAGAGCAAACATAAATATCCCCATAATCCATTTTAAAGTGTTACCAAATTGCCAATTTTGCTTCAAAAGTTATTTTTAGAAAAATAAAACATTACAGACGTATCTGAAGCCCCCTGTATGTACCTCCCGGATCCTCTTCCCTTCCTGACCTCACTCCCCAGGGGTAACTACTGTTCTGAAGTTGGTGTATATCTTTCCCAATCATGTTTTAAGTTTTACAATGTGTACATATTCAACATATGATATTGCTTTGCATCTTTGAAAAGTCTATATAAATGGCACCATCCTGCAAAATGCTTTTTCAACATTGTTTTCATGATTTTGTTTTTTTCATCACTACAAACAGATGCTGCAGTAAGCATTCATGGATGTGTCTCCTTGGCGTGTATAGGGGAGTTCTTCTGTTTGTACTCGCAGGACTAGAATTGCTGGGTGTAGGAGATGAGAATCTTCAGTGTTGCAGATATCTAATTACCCTCCAAAGTGGTTACACCAATTTTTACTCCCACCAGCAGTCTATGAGAGCTCACAGTTCACCTCCAATTCACCATCACTGGGGAATCTCAGGCTTTTTATTTTCGCCTATAAGATAGGAGTGAAATGATATTTCATTGTTTAATTCCCAGTTGCCTAATTCCTAACAAAACAGATAATCTTTTTGTATATTTATTGGCCGTTTTGGTACTTCTTCTCTGAATTGTCTGTTCATATATTTAATCCAGTTTTTATTGGGTAATTTGTCTTATGTTGCCTACTCTTCCTTCATTGTTTAGAGGCTTGAAAAGATCTTCTCTTGGTCTATGGTTTGGCTTTTAATGTTGTTTTTACTGTTTTTAGTTGTGCAGAAGTTTGTTTACTTTATACAGTCAATCTTCTCCATGATCATTTGTTCTTTCTTGTGTTTTAAGAAATTATTATCTACTCCTAGTCATAAAAATATCTTTCTATATTTTCTCTTACAAAAATGTTTGCATTTTACATTTAGGTACTTAATCCAGATTAAAGCTACTTTGGAGCTATTTTCATGTTTATTTATTTGCCATAGGGACAGGCAATTGTCCAGCATCTCTTCTTGGAGAATCCATCCTGCCCCCTGATAATGTGTAGCATCGTTTCATAAAGCCAGCCCCTGAGTGGGCAGCAGTCTGTTCCGGGCCCTCTATTCTGTTCTATTTGTCTACTTGTCAGGCCCCTTACAGTTAGTACCTCATTGATTTAATATAGTCTTAGTATAAGCTTTAACCTCTGGTAGAGCAGGTACTCTCCTTATGCTTTTTCAAAATTCTCTTGGCTTTTCCTGGCCCTTCACTCTTCCATATAAATGTTTGGCTCAGTCCATTAAAAAAAAATCCTGTAGGGATTATAATTGCAATCATATCACAGGCATTTCAAAACCGGATTATTGAAAGGTTCAATAGCTCTTCCAGAATAGCTCTTTGTTAAATGGCATTTAATTTAAGGAACAACAGAATTTACAAATGAAGGAGGAAGGGGTTTCGCCACATCCTCCAATGGGCGCCTCTTCCTGACGCCCTGTTTCCGGCACTGTTATCACTTTGCCCAGATCCCGAGTCATCATTAGAGTCTCTTTTACTTTCCTTCCTTGTATAGATATTTAGCAGATTGCCGGCTCTTTCTTTGATTTGCCTGTTCCCTAGCCTTCCCTTCCTTTCCCTGACTTTGCCCTGGTTCAGCCTCTTGTCTGTCTTGCTGGGCTGGGGCAATAACCTCCCGTTTATGACCCTGCTTCTCAAGACTTTTCTTCCCTGAAGGCACCCTGATTACTGATCAGTGGTCGTAAAGCACCATCCAGGCCCTCCCAATCTCAGAGCCCTCTGTCTGCTGGATCAAGTACAGCTCCTCTGCCTGACGCTCAGCAGGCCCCAGCTTTCCTGCCAAGCCCTCTCAACTGTCACCTGCTTTCCATCGGTGACCTTGACTCCTGCCGGATCCATCTCCTCAGTGTCTGGGGAACCTGCCTGCTCATTCAGTCTCTATGGCCACCCCAGCCGTGCCCACTGCCTGCTCTCCACTCTCCACTTGCTACCCAACTCCAACAGTTCCACCTGGAACAAGGCAGCTCACCCGACGACCAGAGCCAGAATGGTCTCCCTACTGTGAACATCCTTGGTGCTTCTATTTGCAGACTTTGTGGCAAAGCAATGTGGTAAGGCAGGGTTTCTCAATCTGAGCACTGTTGACACCTGGCCCAGATAATTCTTTGTTGTGGGGGCTTTTCTTTGTTTCCAGGCTTCATCCCTGGCCTCTGCCCACTACATGCCAGGAGCACCCTCTAGTTGTGGCACCTGAACCTGTCTCCAGACCTTGTCAGAAGTCCCCTGGGGGACAACATGGCCTCTGGTTGACAACCACTGATGCAAGGGAAGACTTGTACCCCCAGCTGCACCGTCTGAACAAGGGGTTCCTGGAGCTGGAGGTGGCAGCTGCCTCCTGGCACGAACCACAGAGCAGCTACAAGGTGTCTCTGGACACTCTCTGGCAGTTGGCATCTGCTCTGGTTCAGAGCATCTGAAACGGGGCTGAATACTGCCCAAGGCCATGTCCACGTCTGCCTCCTGATGCACGCTGAGCACATCCTGTTATTCACCTCCTTGAGGTGACGAGATCAGAAGGAGGCTGGGAAAGCATCTAGGATACCATAGAGACACCTTTCATCTACATCTAAGAGGAAGTTAATCATGCAGTGGGAAAACAAAATACAACGTGGATATGAACCACATTTGCTATAAAGGTGCTAGATTCTTTTGACTGTCGATGACTTAGGTGTCCAGGGAATGAACTAACTGAGTCCCATCCTCTGCCTCTCATTTTCAAAAGCATTCAGTGATAGGATCTAGTGGGCCAGCAGGGTCAGAATACTTTCACAGGTTCATCTACATTTTAAGAATTTTATTGCTAGTGGCTACCCCTCTGGAATGACACAGGCCCTTTCCCAAGGAGGCTGTTGTGCAGGCGTCAAGGGGATTCTGTGGGGCTTGGATCATTCGGGCACCGTCCTGAGTCCCTGGATGGCCCTGGGGTCTGAAAACTGCTCCAGGCCAGTGTCCCCTGTTTGAGAGTTTTGAGCCTGGGATCTGTGGGAGGCCCCACATGCAAGTTTGTCTTGTGGGCTAGGTTGTCATGTCCCTTTTTTGACCTACTGGCTCCGTGAGGAGTTGCTCTTCTCCAAGGCCTTAACCACGACGGACACTGGGCCAGCCATCCTCCCAGGCTCTCCAGGCTGGCCAGCTCAGGACCACCTCTCCTCAGCTCCTCTTAGCTGTCCTGACTTCCCGCTGGGATGCTCATTTCCTCCTTTCACTTCCCTCTGGGGAGGGTCCCTGACTCACCTCTCAGAAGCTGGGCTGCGGTGGGAGGGAGAGAGAAGCAGGCAGTGGGGATGCTGTAGTTGGTTTTCAGTATGTCCAGAAGATCTGCTGTGTACCTGGAGAGACATCAGCCTGCCTTCAGAATATGGGGACTTGGGGAAGGGGGAGGGTACCAGAAGGGACACCAGTTACTTGACACCCCCTCAAACACTCCTGGGTTCAGGGAGCTTGTCTATTTCCCCTAATGGTCTTGAGGGAATGGAGAATTGGCCCAGGCTAGGGTGTCAGGCAGGCTGCCACGCAGGCCACAGGCAGGTCTGGCTGTGGTGTCCAAAAAGCCCACAGTGCATTCTCTCCACTTCCATTGAGGCAGCAGCCCAGAGGCTGGCTGTGGAGAAAGAGCAGGGTCTCAGAGAAAGAGCTTAGCACCCTCAGGAGCCTTAGCACCAGGGATGGGTCCCCAACTGTTCAGGTCCTGTGCAAGTCCCCCAGAGTCCCCACCTCTGGGATCTTTCTTTCTCCAGTTGGCGGGCAAAGCCAAGGCTCCGAGGGCTCATGCACTGGGCCAAACCCACAGTGTCCCTGAGGACCTCATGGACAGCCAGACCATTATCAGTCCTGTCTCACTCTGTGTGCTGGGAGCCAAAGGGCCCTGGGAGGGAGTGAGGGACAGGCCAGAGCCATAGGGGCCACCGCTCCTTATCAACTGGCTACTGGCTCAGGGCCTGCTGCTCTCACTCACCTGGGGTCAAGCTTTATCTGAGTCCTGCCTGACTCCATGGTCTTCTCTCTCTCTGTGGCTCTCCAGGCAGGCACTGAAGGGCAAGGAGTGGTGGGCAGGAGGGGGCCCTGAGGGAGGTGGCTCTCGCTGGCCCTGTTGCCTGCTGGCCTTTCCCAGAGGACCCAGGCTGCAGGTGGGTGGAGTGGCTGGTCTTCGCCTCTGGCTCCTTCCCTCTTCAGGCCTCCTGTGCCTGCAAGTTCCTAGAACCTATCTCAGAGTTCACCCAGGAGGAATTTGATCCTGTCTGCTGGCTGAGTTCCCTGGCTCCTGACTCCTCCCTGTCCCGGGGTATGGTCCCCCCCGGCCTCCCTCCCACAAATGCCTTTGGCCACCCTTTGCCCCTGGCCCGCCCCCATCTTACTTCCCCCACTAAGGAGCCTTCTAGGGCAGTGGTAGGGACAAAGTTCTCAATCCTCCCTGCAAGACCTCCTGGTCAGCAACCCTGCCTCCCTCAGAACCTGTCTGGAGCTCAGGCTCTGGTCCCCTGGTGATGGGAGAGTCAGGGCTGAGGCTTAGACTGTGTTGGTGCTGTTGGCTTGGCACAGAAGAGAGAACTAGCTGGAAAAGCCAGATGAAGCCCTTGTGGGTTTCCCAAAGCCCAGCCCTCCACATGTTGGTGATGGGCTTATCCAGCCAAACAGCAGCCAAGGATGCAGCAAATGGGGGTGAGGCTGTATTTAAGAGGCAGAGTTGCTGAGTGAGATTTCTGAGCATTTTGACAGATTTTGAAAAACTGTGCCAAATTATTTGCTTATGAACTATTTTATTGATTATTGATTTCTCCTCTGTCTACAAATAGATTTAAACTTATTTGAGGCCAAATACAGTGACCCTAGGTTCCTGGCACAGGGCCTGACATTTACTCAGTTCTCCTTAGAATTAGTCGCCTGACTTACAAAATAATAAAATCATGGCAACAGCTAAGGTCTATTAAGCATTTATGGAGCACCAGGTGCTGTATGAAATGCAATATGTTCCTTATCTCATTTAAACCTTCAGTCACTCTTATAAGGTAAATACTATCTTTATTCCCATTTGACAGATAAGGAAACTGAGTTTCAGAGAGGTTATGACACCAGGTTGGATAGAAAGCCATGGAGGTGTGGAGAGAGGCGGAGGGACGTGCATTAGGGGCTCTGTTGAGGTTCGGGTGAAGATTTTTGATGGTAAGGAAAGGACTCATAGAGGGTCAAGAGAGTGAATTCTGGGAAGGCAGCGGTGGCTCCTGCCCTGGCTGGGGAGTAGATGCGATCAGAGGAAGCAGTTACTGCTGTGGTGCCAAGATGACTCCCTCCTCCTGTCCATGAACACCTCCAAATATCTCCCCAGGGTCAACAGAATCCTCTCCCTCCCTCACCTTCCTCCTAAAGAACATACTGGGGACAGGACAATGCAGGGAACCAGGAGTCTCAGGAGCCCCATTACCTCCTGCGGTGGGGATAAAGGCACAACAAAGAAGCAAGGGCACTGAGCCCCAGAGGGTCCATCACCTTGGCAGCCCTGACAAAGACACAGGCTGACTCAGCTTCCTCAAACTATGTGCACAGAGAGCTCCATGGGTCGTTCATCTCGCCAGCGAGAGGCCTTGAGCTTAATTGCCCAAAGCCCTGAACCTTAGACTTCTCCAGAGCAGATAACAGGGTGCTGAGGATGTTCTCCAAAACTTCTTCAGGACAGAGTTGGGGGTGGGGGAGGGAAGAGAGGGGAGTTGAAGAGCAGGAGGGAGTCAGGAAGGGAGGCGGCTGGGCTGACACTCAGTGCTCCCACAGCTGGGTTGTAGGGGCTGTGAGGTCCAGGGGAGACTGGCGAATTCTCAAGATGGCTGAGGATGGCGGGAGGAATGGCAGGGTGTGGGTGAGGGGGAGGACTTTAGCTGTGATGGGGTACTTCTGCCCCACCCAAAGTCCCTCAGCGGCTATCTTCTGTGCAGGGTGACCCGTGACTAGTCCAGGGCGATGCCCTGACTCAAGGCCAGCTGATTCATAGCTCAGCTGTGGCAAGAGAGGATGAGCTGGACCAGCCAATCAGTTCTTCTCTTGTGAGTTCTGGACTGCTACCTCTCAAACACTGATTTTTAGAGCCAAGAAGAACAAAGCTTCCTTCGTATCATTTTTTTGGCTTAATTTTCCTCACAAAATTGTATGATAATGTGATACATTACCTATCACTTCAGTTTTGGCTGTCTCAGTGTAAGGGTCATTTTTGAAAAATGAAAATACGAAAAAGAAACCTGAGTTGCACTGTTTTTTCCCCAGGGCTACTCAATCATTTGACATTTAAAAGCCATTCTCTCTCTTTTAAACAATTTTTTATTGAGATAAAATTCACATAACATAAAATTCAGCATTTTAGTCATTTTAAAGTGCATAATTCAGTGGTTTTTTATATATTCATAATGTTGTACAACTATCACGATTAATCTAATTGCAGAATATTTCCATCATCCCAAAAAGAAGTCTCATACTTCCCAATTCCTCCTTCCTCCCATCCCCTGGCAACCATTAATCTACTTTCTGTCTCTACGGTTTTGTCTCTTATGGATGGTACATCTAAAGAGAATCATACAATATGTGGCCTTTTGCATCTGACTTCTTTCATTTAGCATGTTTTCAAGGTTTATTCATGTCACAGTATGTATCAGTACTTCATTCCTTCTCATGGCTGAATAATAGTCTGTCATACGGATATGTCATATTTTGTTTTATCTCCTCATCAGTTAATGGACATTTGGGTTGTTTCCATTTGTTTTGGCTACTATGAATAATGTTGCTACTTTGCTGATCTCTTCTATTACCTGTGTGTGTGTGTGTGTGTGTGTGTTTATGTGTGTATTTGTTAGGGTTTTCTATACACAAGATTGTGTCATATGCAAATGGATATAGTTTTACTTCTTCCTTTCCAGTGTGGATGCTTTTGTTTGTTTTTCTTGCCTAACTGCTCTGGCTAGAACTTGCAGCACAGTGTTAAATGGAAATGGCAAAAGCAAGCACACTTGTCTTGTTCCTGATCTTACGGGGAAAGCTTTCAGTCCTTCCCCATCAAGTACAATGTTAGCTGTGGGGTTTTCATCAATGCCCATTATGGGGTTGAAGAAGTTCCCTTCTATCCCTGGTGTGTGAGCGTCTTCATCACAGAGGGGTGTTGGATTTTGCCAAATGCTTATTCCCCATTGAGATGACCATGCTGTGTTTTCCCTGCACTCTGTTAATATGGTGTAGTACGTATTATTAACTTTTATGTGTTGAACCACTCTTGTGTTCCTGGGATAAATCTTACTTGGTCATGGTGTGTGATCATTTAATATGCACCAGATTCAGTGTTCTAGTATTTTGTTGAGGGTTTTGCATCTATATCCATGAAGGATACTGGTCTGTAGTTTGTGTGTGTGTGTGGTCTTCATTTGGCTTTGGTATCATGATGATACTGACCTCATAGAGCAAATTAGATAAAGCGTTCCTTCTTCTTCTATTTCTTGGAAGAGTTTGAGAAGGATAAGTGTTCATTCTTTAATGTTTGGTAGAATTTACCAGGGAAGCCATAGGCCATTCTTTTTTGAAGAGCCTACGATGTTGGCCCTTCTTCAATTTTTAGCTGTTGTAGACTAGCTCCTTATTGGTTGATGGCTTTCTGGGTTGACTTAAATGGTATTCCAGTATCACTTCTATAAACATCATCCAATTCTACTTCTTTTGCAAGATTTTAAATTTCACTTTGCAGTAAATTTTCATTATACCTGCACTTGGCATTGTTTTACATTGCAGTTGAGATGGGAAATGAAGATGCTACTTTTGAGTGAAAGGTGATGTTTGGGGTGGGGCCTCATTTCTTGCCCATCAGTGAATATTTTTGTGTTCTGATGTTTTTGTTTACTACATAACATCATAACTTTAGGGATTCAGAGGGTGATAACTAAGAGAGCAAAAAGCCCCCTGAATTCTACAACTACAAACACCGAAATACATGGTGCTAATTTCAGTAAGTTAATGAAACAAAAGTCCACAAACAGATTCTAAAGAGTAGCCTGCAGAATGTTTATTAGGGAATGATTTTGGGATCAACACCTGTGGAAGGGAAGGGAAGGGAAGGAAGCGGGCCTGAGCAGAGGGAGCAGTCCATCTGTGGTAAGGGCCCAACAAAAGCCTCAGGCAACCCAGAAGTCACATGGGGGCTGGGATGGCCCTTCAGGATTGTCCTGCATTGGGGCAAAGTGGCTGGGCCTTGAAACTCTCCTGTTGACCAGTCCCTGGATGCAAACAAACTGCCCCTGAAGGAGGCGGGACCTTGGGTGAGGCAATTTTCTTTCGAGTAGGCTACCCTCAAAGCAGAGGCTGTCTTCCAGCAGCTGGGGGATAGATTCTGCCTTCCAGGACTGGGGTCTGGGAGGCACCTCACAGGGCCACCCACAGATCTTAGCATATATGAAGAACTTAGTAACTGTTGTAAGAGGAAAAGGAAAGCTTACTTGATAAATGATGCTGGAACAATTTACTGTGATGACATGAGTGACATACACGATTAGACCTTTACCTTATATCTTACTCCTACATGAATTTCAGATAGATTACAGAGTTAAATGACAAAGAAAACAAGAAGTATAGGTAAATATTTATCAGACAGAAGGAGAGGGAAAGACTTAGAAGAAAGGTAAGATGATGCTAAGGAAATGATCAATAGATTTGATTACATAAAAGCAACAAAACCTGACATTAAAAATTGCACACAAAATTAAAAGGCAAACAACAAACCAGGAACATATTTGCAATAAACACCGCCAAAATTTTTGAAGAAAAGTGCTCCTGCAAGCCAGAAAGAAAAACCCAACACTTCCACCAAAAGCACAATGAGATACCACTTCATACCCATTAGGATGGGTGTTATAAAAAAACAACAGAAGAAAACAGAAAGTGTTAGCAAGGATGTGGAGAAATTGGAACACTTGTGCATTGCTCATGAGAATGTAAAATGGTGCAGCTGCTGTGCAAAATAATGTGGCCATTCCTCAAAAAATTGAACATAGAATTACCATATCATCCAGAAATTCCACTCCTGGATATATACCCCAAAGAATTGAAAGCAGGGACTTGAATAGATATTTCTACACCCC